GACATATTGAAGTGTATTATATTAGAGTTACAAGTATGTAGTACTAAAAGTAGGTCTTGTAGAGCTCCTTGAATTTAGCACTATTTTCTAGCTTAATGGTACTATGTCAGTATATTCAATTTAGTCAAATGCAAGGTTCAGTAAAAGTCTCAATTACTCAAAATTTTGTTAGAAAACCCATCGATTTTAGTATTTGTGATTATAATAGATATATTGAAGTGCATTGTATTAGGATTTCAAGATCGTAGTACTAAAAGTACGTCCTGTAGAGCTTCTTGAATATACCACTATTTTCTACCATAATGGTACCATAGCTAGTATTGCAGTGCTATATCAGTATGGTGATAGACGTCAAGTGCAAAGTTCAATAAAAGTCAAAATATTTGAAACTTTTTTTAGAAACTACATCGATTTTAGTATTTGCGATTATAATAGACACTTTGAAGTGTTATATATTTAAATTGCAAAGTTGTAATGCAAACGGTGCGGCCTGCATAAATTTTTCAATTTTTGTCTGTTGTCATAATTTTGTGAATTGTTTGATAAAATTCGTTATAACTCAAAATTTTGTTAGAAACCTCATCGATTGTAATATTTTTTATCACAATAGACACTTTCAAGAATAACATACTAAATTTACTACACTTTAGCACAAATGGTGCGTTCTGTAGAACTCATTGAAAATGACACTTCTGTATTACTTTACTTTATTTCGTATGGCTGTCCGGATTTCTAGTACCCAACAGTATATATCCACATTTATTACACTAACATAACAAAAACGTCACATACACGTAACTAAATGCAAACTAGTGGGGCGCATGGCATCGTGCCTTAAGGAAAATTACTGGAATTTCCCGTACCAAAAATTATTTTTTTTAAAAAGATTAACATTTTTGAAAAAAAAATTACTCTGAAAAAATTAGATTTTTGGAAGCTATAAATTTTTGACAAAAACTTACTTTTTTTGAAGAAAAATTTATTTTGAAATATTTTGGAAATTCTGAACTTTTTTCAAAGCAATCGTACTGCTTTAACTGCGTAAAAACGAAATATCGAAGCGCGTAAGCGCCGGGTCGCCGTCTAACGCGTACACATTGGTACGGAACCCTTAGAAATGTAAAAAAATTATACTTATTGTTAAAATCTCTATAAAATATCTGATAATTTGACGTGCATATGTTTAAGATCATTTTTGACCGCCAAATGGCATTTTTTTTACTTTTTTTATTAGATTTCCGAAACCGCTAGACCTGGCTTCATGAAAATTTGATCAATTCTTCATCTTGTCAATACAAGTAAAATGTTTTTTGAATTATTAAAATCGCTCCGTTCTTTTAAAAACTGAGTTACCATTTTTGGCACTTTTTGCTTCGTATCTTCGGAACTAAGACCTGTTAGACCTGCCTTCACCAAAAACTAATCAGCACGTCTTCTTATCAATACGAATCGAATGATTTTTAAATTATTCAAATCGGTTGATCGGTGTTCCCGAAATCGTCGACGAAAATTTGTATCTGCACAACCACACATACACACACGCACACACACATACATCCATTTCTTCTAAGGTATGCCAAAATATTCAGAAACCTCTAAACGTAAAGATATATAAAAATTTTCATTTTCGATTTTTTTGCGATTACTATAACTTACCCTAGGACAAGTTAAAAATCATTAATTTTTTTTATAAGTATCTATTATATTTACCCTGGTTCCTCCCAAGGCGCCAGGTTTGGCGTCCACTGATACCGACTGTCTTTTCTGCCTGGTCTGCTGAAATACTTCCACAGGTTTCCCTATGTAATCCTCCAGTGGCAGCAGGCCATATTGCTTTCCTTCTTCGTCATAGGCGATTTCCAGGAACAATGGACCAGCATCGCAGACCAGGAGGACGGCGAACAGAGCGATGATTATTTTCAACATTTTTTATAGAAGTATAAAAATATTACTGATGTTTTTTTGTTTCGATGAGCGCACTACTGGGCTGTATCGGTTTACTGAGATTTCTGATGTTTTCCGGCAGTGTTTTGGATGGTTTTATACTGAGATTTCGATTTGAAATTGTAAATCCCATTTTTAACGACTATGAGAGTGTTATCAATTTTATTGGCGACGAAATATAAACAATATTAGTCGGGTGGCTGGTGAACATAAAGAGTTATCCTAAAAATTATATATTTTTATTTAATCAACAATCTCATGTCCTATTTACAAACGGTTTCCTTAAAAAGAATGTTCTAATTAAGACCAACTCAATTATAATTTAACCAGGAAGACTTTTTTGACGCCCAATTTGAAAATCGACGTCGTTTATGAGGAATTGCTTAAATAATACAATTCGAGCATGGATTAGAGATAAGGACTCTAAAGAAAGCTGACAAAAGCCTCCTGGAGGGTTTTTTTTAGATATGGTGCAGAAGAAGATAAAAGGGACTTCTGGAGAATAAATGAGATAACATTAAAAAAAGTGATATTAAAAAGGGCTCTACTGGATTTGAATATGAAAAGGAAACTGGCTCGGATTCATATTTGGAAAAGGGGTCTTTATAATTAACCCAGAAGACTTTTTTACGCCTAATTTGGAAATGGATAATAATTTATCAATTAATTGAAATACTACATTTGCAGCATGGATTAGAAACATAGATTCTAAAAAAAGCTGACAAAAGCTACCTGGATAGTTTTTTAGATATAGGAATCCTTAAAGTGAGTAAAAGATGAAGGGTCTCTACTGAATTTGATTATGAAAAGGAAACTGGCACGGATTCATATTAGGAGAAGAGGTCTTTATGATTAAACCAGAAGACTTTTTTGACGCCTAATTTGGAAATAAATTTCATTTATGATCAACTCTTAAAATACTACAATTGCAGCATGAATTAGAGACATGGACTCTAAAGAAAGCTGATAAATCTACCTGGAGAGTTTTTTTTAGATATGGAGAAGATAAAATTGATCACTGGGGAATAAATGAAACAAGAGAGTAAAAGAAAAAGGGGCTTTACTGAATTTGATTATGAAAAGGACACTGGCACGGATCCATTTTCGGAAAAGAGGCCTTATAATTAAACCGGAAGATTTTATTTCGATGTCATTTATTAGAAACTGATAAAATTCTACATTTGGAACATGCATTAGAGACATGGACTATAAAGAAAGCCGGCAAAAGCCTCTTTGATAGTTTTTTATAGTTATAGGTGCTAGAGAAGGAAAAAAGGACTACTGAGGAAGGAAAACAGTACTCTATAATTAAACCAGGTTTTTTGACGCCTAATTTGGAAATCGATGTCACTGATAAAATACTACTTTTGAAGCATGGATTAGACGTTTTTTTTCTTTTTTTGGACTCTAAAGAAAGCTGAAAAAAAGCCTCTTGGAGAGTTTTATTTAGATATGGTGCTGGAGAAGATAAATTGGATAGACTGAGGGATATATAAAACAATATTTAAAAAGAGTAAAATAAGAAGGGACTCTACTGAATTTATTATGAAAAGGAAACTGGCGCGGATTCATATTAGGAAAAGAAGTCTTTATAATTACACCAGAAGACTTTTTTGACGCTTAATTTGGAAATCGGTGTCATTTATGAGGAACTAATAAAATACTGCATTTGGAGTATAGATTATAAAGAGGTGGACCCTAAAGAAATTTTTTACTGAAATTGATTATGAAAAGGAAACTAGAGCGGATCCATATTAGAAAAAAAATGCTTTGTGCACAAACTCAGACTAAAATATGGCGCAGAGCAAAGTACATGATGGACAAGAAATATCTTTTTTGCGAAAAGGAAACTAGATTGAATACATATTTAAAACACTGCAATAACAATTAGATATGTAAAATGGAGAAGAGAAGATAAAATGAAATTACATGGTGGTAAGAAAAAAATTTAGAAGAAACATTCATTTTGAAAAAAATCTGCCCTAGTAGTAGAAATAGAAGGATGTAAGGAAGGACAAGAATGTAAGAATGATCATCTTAAATTAAATGACAAAATACAAAAAATTTAAAGCTAAAGCACAGAATGAATGAATTCTCCAGAAGTAAATTTACAAACAAGACAGAGTAAAGTAGTAAATTAAATCTGATGCTTTTCCACCATGGACCAGATAATAACAATATAATTATTATCATCAGCTACCGCACTAATACGGATATTATTTTTTTGATAAAAATTCTGATGCATTCTCAGCCAAAGTTATTCCCCTTTTACTGTATTTTATGAATACAAGATCTACTAAATATTTACTAATAATTTATTGAGTCATCAACTGCTAATTAATATACATATTGAAACAAAACATTGTTAAAATCTTTTATAGCCTATTACTGTCCATTTTTATTATCAAAGGTATTTTTTATGTTCTTGGAAATAGAATGAAAATTTGTTTTTGAAATAAACGTTCTTGTACAATATTTATAGACGATACATATTAAAGTTGAATTTATCATCACATCATATTTTCATTACATTTTACAATTTACTGGATGGTTTCTTGGACTTTTAGCAATTGAATGCAATTTATTTAAATTTGTATCAGTTTTTAGCAATTATGTTCGTTTTATTATAGTATAACTTAAAATTGTTCTCTTTTTTACAGAACTCACTCAATCTTTATGCATTTAAAAATGTATAACATTGGATTAAAAGAGAATTTCCTTCGTGGGTTGTTCCTGTTTTACTCGGTGAGTGACTATTTAATATTTTTATTCAATACTTAATAATAGTTCTGCAAGATCTTGCATAAAAGTCGACTTTTATACAATTTGAAAATGCATTGAAAATTATGCGCAGATTGAAAATATGTTATAAATATTAGTAATTTATCAAAAACGTATAAACGGTCAGATTAGATGAATATTTAATTAAATTTCTAACACCCACAGATGAATTTTAACATAACTTTGTTTTACTTTGTATGCACATAAATATTCAAAATAGAATATATTTTATTTATATTTTCATAAAGAAATTTTTGAAATTCAAAGAGCTCTTATTACTTTCTCAAATTATTTTTATTTCTTCGATCTTAAAAAATAATATTACATGTTGTGTTTTTATTTTTTTTGTTTTACACATTCCTGAAATATTCGCTAATAAAAATAACTGAAAAATTAATATGCTACCAATTTATTAAAATTTTGAACACGGATGTATAGATTATTATTTAGCTGGTTTCTTCGATGGTCTCAATGCGAAGTAGGCTATTGTCAGTCCTATGACTAAATATGTGGCTTTACCGACCTGTAATAGAAAGAAAAATAATTAGGAAATATATAAAAGATACATTGAAATTTCTCTAACAATATATATAAAAATATTATTACCACTTGAAAGTATAGCGAGAAAGTTACAAGATGATGTAGTAAGAAAAGTCATTTCACATCAATAATTTTTTCTATTTAAATGTAATTTTAAAGCATACTGAGTTGCTCTAGGTCATCATATTGCTTGACAATAACGTTTTGAATTTAATTATGTACAAAATAGTCTTACCTCAACCATGCTTTATCAAACAATTCAAAAGTTACAAGGGATTTAATAATAAAAAAGCACAAATTGTCTTGAATTCAATAATTATTTCATTTTAAATGTAATCTCAAGCGTACAATGTTTGTCGTTAGAGGGATATTAGGATAAATCAATTTTAATTGAATAATCAACTAAAACTGTAATTATTTGAGGTGTAGAGTTAACGATAAGTGAAAATACAATAAGAATCCACAAAATTACAATCTGCATTGTTTTTGAATCTAATACAATAGTTTAATGATTATTATTTAATTTCTAAGTCCTAAAACGAACAAATATGTATAAAAGCTTTTGCTTACATTAGCTCGGCCAGTATTGGTTTGAGAGTTGAAGATTTTAGCAAGTCCTTTCAGTTCTGGTTCTCCGGCCATTCTGTAAAATAAAACAAATATGTTTAAGAAATTCCTACACACAAATTAAGATTGTTGCGATATTACTATGTATATTAATAACATTCTTTATGCCTAAAAATGAATTAGAGTACTAGATTTATGACTAAAGCTGATTAGAGTCTTTGCAAATAAGATATCTTGTGCAAAACCTTTTTCAAATAAAATTGTTAAGTAGGATTCAAATTCAATTCAAGAATAATAATACAAATAATAATATGTTTCGATACATTTTGAGACTCAAAACTGTATATAAAAATAAAGTGATAAAGTGAAATAAAATTTTAAAGTGATTTATTAAAATAATTTTTATAAATATTTAGATGCATGTTATACTTGTGCAAATTGATTTATAATAATTCATAAATGCAAAACAGTAAAGACCTTGCATTCTAGTATTTATTTTAATATAAAAATTACTATAAATTATAATATTTCTTTTACACAAAGATTTTTGTCAAATAGGTTAGGATAAGTATTTTCATCGTTCAACCATTATTATTATTATATTTCATTTATACTCACATGAATGTTTTTTGTACGTGAAAAGTGTCACGAATTTTATTAATTTAATAGAATTGAAAGAATTTGCTTGGTGCAAATTCTGAAAAATTTTGATATTACGTAAAACTGATTATATGATATTGACGTGAGGATGAGCGACTCTGAAGTGTTTTTTGATTGGCGGAAACTTTGATGGCGGGATATTTGAATTGGGATAAATCATACAATTCAGTTTGGTAAATGATACAATTTTATGTTGTATTTGGAGCTTTCGAATTATACATTGCAAAATTATGAATTATTGATTGTTCAGTAAGTCAATGTAGATTAAAATGTGTGGAAAGAGGGAACGGGCAAGCTTTACGTTTTGTAAGTGGCATTTGGCATTTCGCCATGTTTGACAGTTGACAATCCGCCATATTTGACAGTTGTTTAGTTTGACAGTTCTTCAATTTGACATTTCATTTGTCATTAATGTTTTAAAACGTCAAAATATTTACAACAAATATATTTTAACTATTTTATAATTACTAAGTTACTATTATTTATTATCTCCTAGGTTTTATAGGTTTTATAGGAATAGGTAAAAAAATTACTCAAGACAATAGTATAATTATTAATGCTCTAATCTAAATTAATCCAACTATAGTAGATGAATCTACTGAAAATCAATCAATCAATCAATATAAAAACCAATATACAGGATGTTTTTTTAGAGAGGCATATGAAAAATTAAGTGTATACATTAAAATGTATGAAATATGAAATTATTGTAAAAATTGATACATTTACTCTAATTCAGAACCTGCTACATCATAAATGAAATCGAGTATATATTCAAGCAAACATTTTTTTATCGAGAACTTTAAAAAGACATTAGATTACTTCTTATATGCATCATCTTTGTAAGACAACTTTCTAACAATTAGGTACTCTTATAAAGACTTGTAAGCAATCTGTCATTACGAGTGTTAGATATACAAAACTGCACTTATATAGTATGGGGTATTAAATCACTATGGGTGTTTATGGTAATTATGAGGGTAACATATATAAAAATATATTTAGTCATTTGCAAACTTCAAAAAGGTTTTAACATGCTCATACAGTATTTATTAAATTTGAAAATTTAATAGAATACATGAATTAATACAAGGAATCGAATATAATACTGATGTAAAGTATCCAATAAACCTTTTATGCAATTGATGAGTTTAAAAAGATATTCATTTTTTCTCGAGTATGTGAATTGTGTTGTAAAGCTTATGCCACTCTATTATATTAAAGTAATAATAGTGTTATATTAAAGAAATAATACATATGTAATATATATTAGAGTAATAATACATATATATGAAAGAAATTAACACATTACTTGAAAGCTGAAATAAAATATTGATCTTCACGAAAAAAATCAATTGAAACACAAACAAAAGCTTTATTTTCTACCTAAATACATGCTTGTTTTCTAAATTAAATATTATTGTAAAAGAACCATATAATTCAATATAACATTTCTATAGGATTTCATTAAGCAAAAAATTCTATTTTTGCAACAAAGATTTAGACCTATAAATAATTTATATAACTAAATTCATTACTTCTCAAAACATTTGCAAATATATATAAAATATTTTAGCTAATTGGCAAAAACTAAATTTAATATTTGGCCAAATTAGGCAAAATTTTATATTACAATCTATGTATATAATAAATTTATTGTTCCATCAAATAATGTTGACACATTTTTTTTATCTTTGATAATATATTTAAACTCGATTAATTACATATCATTATCATTTTACTTATTATTATCCAGATTTATAATTTAACTAACTACTACACTTATACATTTAGAAATAAATATTTTTTTAATATCTTTTTCTTCGTAGAGAGCTAATACATTAGATTTCTTTATTAAGTACATACTATATTAATATTTGCTATTTTTTTTTTTAATTTTACATTTTAAATATTTCATTTCATAGTTATACTATATATTCTACAGCTAAAAATAAAATATTTATATATTTTTCATCCAGTGAAAATGTAAGACCAGCTTGGTAAGAGATTTTTTGGAATCAGAAATTTTCATCACATAATTTTGTAATCAAATAGTTTTTGTTGTAAAAATATTTAAATTTATTTATTTATTGTCGTTTCTGGTTTGAAAATATTTTGAATTTTGTCTTCAACATTCGCCGCTTCTAACAACTGCATAATCTGTAATAAAAATAAAATAATCGATATGATAAAATACTTAAAATTTATAACTGTTACAAGAGATGCATAATAAGAGATGAAAGAATAAACGATGTATCGTTTACATGAAAGTTCGTCCAATTTACGCTATTAATATATAGTATTTATATTTAATCATTATAACTTTATATTTAATCTTTAATATATTATTATTTTTATAATTTTCGCTTACAAATTCCTTCTCGACAATATGCCATGTCGGCCTGGCACCTGGTAGCAAAAGTCCTGGGCTGGCCATCGGCGTCAATTGCGCAAACTGGACCAGTCGGATCGCACCTGGTTAAAATATTATAAAACATTATAACAAAAAAAAAACATTCTGTTAATTCATTAATTAGTAGTTGTGATTTAAACCAATTGAGATACAAATAATACAACTTCTGGTGGAACTTGCCACTTTAACACTTATTTAGTATATTAAAATCGACCCATTTTAAAAAATGTATGTTTATAGTTTAACAAAAAGGCGTAATTTTTGAAAATCTAATTAATTGAATTAATTTAACTTCCAGAAAACATTAATTTTGAAAATTAATGTTTTCTGGACGTTATTGTTATCTTGACGTTGAGTTCTGGGACACTCTGTATATTGGTGTTAACTAATAAACAAAATCAGCATTTTTGCATTGATTTTTTTTATTAAGTGCAATTATTTATTCTTTCATTTATTTATTTATTTATTACCTTGTGACTTCGAGACAGGCCAAAAGGGCAACGGGTGTATCCCTACCACTTGGAGGGGCCCCATTTGTAAGGCTTAACAAAAGCAGAAGCAATCCTAAAATATAAAATAAAATCAAATATGTAAATAATATATTTGTGTAATTAAATTTGGATAGTTCAACAGAGTTTTACTTTTAAAACTACTTGTAATTTTTTTTTAGTTTTCGAAACTTTACAAGAAAAAGCTTAAAAATTCTTGAAAAGGTCGGTTGAGCTTAAAGCTAAATTTAAGATAAGTAGTAGTCTCAAAGTAACTCAAAGGGCTCATCATAAATGAATGAATGAATCCAAAATATATTATAAAAAATCATATATGTATATTAGGGTGGTCCTTAATATGGATATTTTTGAATTTTCTTGCTCCTTGAATAACAAACTACACACTTGAATATTGTCGTCAGTGTTACATATAAGTAATAAGTATTATATGTTTTTCAATTATTAAATAATTGATGCATAACTCATATATATTCGGGTGGTCCTTCATATGGACATTTTCGAATTTTTTTCCTCCCAGGGGCTCAAATGATTCCAAATTGATAAAGAAAAATTCTCTGAAAGTTTTAGTTTTTAATACTACCTTTAAGATAGTCGGCACTCCAACCACCAAAGATTCTTATGGAAATAACATGAGTAAAATTCCATTTGTTTTTTAGAATTGTATCACTTAACGACAAGTGAGTCAAAATATTAAGAATAACATGGCAATTGCTTACTTTGATCAAGAATAAAAAAATTACAACAAAAATTTCATATATTTAAAAAAAAAAGTATTTACTTGAGAGTATTTACAAGAAGAAGAACCAAGAAACTTTGGTTAGAGTGCGGACTATCTTAAAGTTAATATTAAGAGCTAAAACTTTCAGAGAATTTGTTTTTATCAATTTGGAAGCGTTTGAGCCTATGGAAGCAAAGAAATTCGAAAACATAGACCACTCTAATATATTTATAAATTATGCTACAATTATTTAATAATCCAAAAATATATAACATTTATTACTTATATGTAACACTGACGTCAACATTCAAGTGCTTAGTTTGTTATTCACCATTATTATTCATCATGGGTCATTCATCATTCGATTCAATTTTAAAAATAGAATTCGAGAGCTCCTTCGTACGCAAATATCATGTACATATGTATAAAAATAATGTTATTTAAATAATAAATAATCAAATGTACGCGATTAGATACTAAAGTGCGTCCGTACATTAAACAGAACAGAACAGAATCCATTGATAACAATGTTTTTTTTATTAATTAATAAGGATGATTTTTAGATTGATTGATTTATTGTATTGGAAAAGTTCCATAAAAAATACGAGCACGATACGGAGGAGAAGTTTATGTTTTTTCCTGAAAATCCAACTTGGGTAATTTTCAGGCAAACAATTTTTTTTTCCAAAAGCAATTATTTTGTTGAAACAAGCAGAAAGTTCTTTGAATAATTCAAATCGGACGGGTAATTCTCTTAAAAACTGCCATTTTTTGCACATTTAGCTCTGTATCTTCAAAATGGCTGGGCCTGCTTCTCCCTATCAATAGGAATCGAATGTTTTTTGAACCATTCAAATCGGTTGATCCGTGTGCCTGAAAACGTGACCGAAAAATTGTATCCATACATACATACACACACACATCCATTTTTTCTGAGGTATGCCAAAATGGTCAGAAACTTTCAAAACGTCGAGAAATGCAAAAAAAAATATTTTTGATTTTCGGCCCATTACTATAACTACCCTACGGGAAGTTAATTATATATTTATAATAGCTTTAAAAATATTTATAATGTGAAAATCATAATGTAATTAAAGTCATACTTCAAATATAATATGATCGGTTTGTCATTGTAATTAGCATTTAGGACTTCAACCTTTATTAGAGAAATATTAAAAGTCAGATTTTTATTTGTTGTATTATTTTTTCACTATACAATCAAAGTAATCGTACTCACGGGACACGACGACCAATCGCAATCGACCCGTATGGAAATGATATCATCAAGATACATTTGTACAGATTTACTCCCTAGTCGCGCCTAAAGCAGTTTTATTTCAAAAATATGTGTGAGACAAAATTTGGCCTTTTGTAGACATTTTTTTCCAAAAACAGCTGTAGCGATTACAAAAATTTGAAAGCTGTTCGATGAAACTCAATAAGGACTAAAGATTTATCTAAATAGCTAAATCTGAAATCTTCTTAATTAGATCGATTATTTACAAAATTGAGTTTCAAT